TAATTTTTTCAGGTTTCTTTGATGAATAGAAAGTTCAGAAGAACAGCATTTATCTGAAATATAATTTTTTTGTAACATTATAAGTGTCTTTATCGTCACTTTTGATCAATTTAAAGCTTCCTTGTTAAATAAAAGTATTAAATTCTGTAATTCCCCCCCCCCCCCAAAAAAAAACAAACAAAAACAAATTATACTGACTCCAAACGTTTGAATGGTGTAGTGTATAATGTTCCAAAAGCTTTTTTATTTCAGATAAATGCTGATATTTGCTGATATTTGGATCTTTCTATTCATCAAATAGTCCTGAAAAAAAGTACTCAACTGTTTTAATTATTGATAATAATAATAATAATAATAATAATAATAATAATAATAATAATAATAATAATAATAATAATAATATAGAAGACCGGAGTAATGATGCTGGAAATTTAGCTTTGATTACAGGAATACATTGCATTTAAAAATGTATTCAAATAGAAAGCAAATATTTTAAATAGTAAAAAATATTTCACAATAGTACTGCTTTGTCTGTATGTTGGATCAAATAAATGCAGGCTTGGTGAGCATAAAATAATTATTTAAAAATATCACTGTTCAAAAACGTTTGACTGGTAGTGTACAGTATATATATATATATATATATATATATATATATATATCATAATAATATACTGAAAATAAATAATAATAATGTGTGTGATTGTAAAGCATCTTTTTGCTATTTTTCTTTCAAATAGATGCCACTTGGTTTGATTTTTTGTTTTACACTTGAATATGTGGATAAACTGTCCAAATACAGTTTGGGGCTACTGTATGCTAAATTATCATGATGTTCTTGTTAGCTGACAGTTGGTGTTTGCTCTTCACACCACAGTCACACGTCAGGCGCTTTCACAAGACGCCCCTCATTAGACAGATCTCTCCCTCCTAAACTCTGAACACTCACCAAAGCACCGCTTCCAAGATATCACAACATTTACAGTCAAAATTCCACTCATTAAAGAAAAAAACAATAGTGTGGTAAGTTGAAGGAAATCTGGACTAGAAAAATGCCCACAGGAAAGACAATCTATATCTATCTCTATCTCCGGCTTTAGTTAAGGAGCTTAGAGCAAACTAAACATGATGCCGTTTTATCAGTCAAATTCTGTTTGTTACTAGAAGATTGATGACAGGAGGCTACTTTGATTGTTGATCTGAGTAATACAGTGATACAGCTCTTGATTGATCTATAAAAACATCATGTAAATTATATTATACATCATACATTCTAAAGCCCTTCTAAGATGGTGCACAATGCATTTTGTATTAATCACAGTAACAATATCAAGGTAAAAGAAAAAAAAAAATCGATGAAGCCTGAAAGAACGCAACTGCTTCATTTCCAATAGCGTATCTGAATGTGGAACAAATAGATGTATATTAAACCTATCTATTTTCTGAACGTATGCAGTGTTATGACAGGTACTCATTTACTTATATCACAAAATATAAAATAAATAAAAATAAAGACCAGCATGCCTTATCTTGATCTTCAGTTCAAGTAGATGTAGATGATCATTCATCCAAAAACAAAACACAACAAACCAAATCCGACAAGTGACAAATGAAATCAGAAATCGCTTGCAGTACTTTTAATCAAAAGATTACAGGATTTCTAACGTCTGCTCTGAATTAAACCTCACTTCCTCTATCCGTAGCGTCAAGCAGCCCAAACCTCACATATCTAATTAAATCAGGAATCATGTGCATTATTTAAGACTTTATTACCAGGCCAGCGGAATTCCCAATGCTCTGAATTCTTAAACAGGTGTAGCTGTTGTTTCCAGAAACTTGTATTTACGGTGACTTATGAAACTTAATCTGTAATGCTTGAAGTATTCACTAATACCATGTGTACAGTGGGAGTGTCGTACACGGCTGTGTGCTAACGCTGGTCTTCTGAGAGCCATGCGGACGCCTCTGTCACGGATATTAATGGTGTGAATACAGAACAAATTTCCCCCGTACAGCGCTGCAGCCGTTCCCTCGTGTTCCCCAAAGCAGGGTACTTAGCAGAGCAAGGACGATAGGAAAGGGAGAATTTCCACAAAGAAAGTTTTGTTTCAGATGTGTTGCTAAGGGACTGAGGCAAAAACTTGCATAATATTTCAATCACAGCTGTGCTCATAAATTAAATAATCAGAGCTGTAGCGCAGAACACATATTCCTCACTTGTTGAGCCGTGGTTCTAATGCGGATGATGCAGGTTCAAGACCCAGTCTACATTCATTAATTTTCTTTCCTTCCTTCCTTCCTTCCTTTTCCCCCTGTCTTGCTAGAAAATTCCTGTTTTTCACATACTCACAAATGCAAGTAAGATTTGTCTTTCGCAATCAATCATTCAATCAATAAAATGACTCAGTTGCCAGGAATTTTATTATGAACTGAAATATAATTCACAGTTTGAATTGCAATGCGATTGATTGATTGATTGATTGATTGATTTGCAAAAGTCAGTAAGATTATTTTTTATTAAGATTGTTTTTGGAAAAAAATCTCTTATGCTCACCAAAATGGCATTTCTTTTAAAGTGAAAACAGTAATATTGTGAAATATTATTACTGTATACTTACAATGTTTGATAAATAAAAAGTATGAATGTATGTAAAAAATACATAAATAAAATAAAAATGTTAAATTAAATTAAGGAAAAAATATCTTCTTAACTCCAAACTTTTGAATGGAAATGGTTGTGTAAAATTTGTCATCAGACATTTTATATTCTTTGCATTAAGCCATAAAAAACATGTTTTTGCATTGGTGCACTTTACTATTTACATTACTATGCACTTTACTATTTTCACCTGTCTGTTACAAATCATTATTATTATTTTTTTCCTTAAAGGTGGGGTAAGCAATTTTTCAAAAACGCTTTAGAAAACTGATTGGGGCCGAATAGCAAAACAAACTTGTAGCCAATCAGCAGTAAGAGACGTGTCTACTCATGATGTGGAGGAGAGAGCGTTCAGTGCACAGGACGGTCATTAGCCGAGCCGAGCGACAAAAATATGTAGCGTCTGGACCACTCCAACACACAATATATATTTTGTTAGCTAGCTTTCACAAATACTTTGTAACACCCCAGGACGCCGAACAAGACCCTGGTTTCATGGTAACCCGATACATTTACAACCTTGTGGAATGCGAGCCGGCTCTCAGCTGCTTTCTCCAGAAACAAGGGGTACAAATGCACAGGAGAAATGGACTGTTCTACTATAGATGACGGATAAGAAACAAAAGAGGAAAACGTTTGAGGAACAAAAGAAGGCTTCAGGCAATAAAGCAAGAAGTAGGACCCGTGTAAATATCGGATCAGCTTTCCAGTGCTGGAGAGAACTCAAGGAGCGGAAGGCCTGCGATCGGACGCCGAGGTTGCTTTGTTTCTTCTCGATAGGTGAGTAACACCGTGTCTGCGCCGCAACAGCTAAAGTCTTTGATGAATATAAAGTTCAAAAGAGCAGTGCCTTTTTTTTGGCAACATTATAAATGTTTTAAGGGTCAAATTAATGCACTCTTGCTGAATGAAAAGTATGAATTTCTTGAAACAAATAAGTAAATAAATAAATCTTACTGACTACAAACTTTTGAATGGAAATGTAGCTTAGTATAAAATTGATCATCATCAGAACTTTTATATTCTTTGCATTAAGCAAAAAAATATATATATATGTCATCATGTTTTTGCGATGGTGCACTTTACTATTTTCACCTGTTTGTTGCAAAGATTATTTTTGTCTTCTTACTGGTTTCTCACTGAGCCCTGCTCTCAACAATATCTAAGCTGTCTAATATTTAAGAGCAAGAGAAGGCCAGCACACAAAAAAAAATTTAGAAAGTGCCTCTGGTTCTCGGTTGCTCGAATAAATCCACATTATTAAACAAGTTAATAGACTTCGACACAAACCCACGGCACACAGAATGAGGTGTTTAGGTGTTTATATTTGATATAAGCCCATATAAATCAATAATTACAAAAAAAAGAAAGTTTCTTTCTGCAAAGAAATGAAGTAGCGTTGAGTGAAAGCTTATATTATTAAGTATAGTAATATATTATTAATGCAACTGTAGCAATGAAAGATTGTGAAGCCACTGGTGATTCATTATTTGACCAGAAAACTAACAAGATGAAAAGTGCACAACAATGCAATTTCACATCTGGACTTCTGCAGACCTGCAGAGGCGGGTTCCTGTGCAGATTAGCACCCACTTGAGACGCCTAATTGCCTGCAGCTGAAAGGACTAATTGAGACGCCACATTTTCAAACCTATTTCCCCACGAATCACGACATTCTTATAATAAGCCGAGCGGAACTGTACGACACTCCCGCAGCGGTACGTATCAAAGCCCGGCTCACACATCACTTCCTGTTCTTAGCACAAGCCTCCAGATGTACCACACTCTCTAAACTCAAAAGAAGATCGGATGTGAGCGCATTGAGATCTGTTGGGTTTGGTTGTTGAGATTGTGGAGGGAAGTATTCTTTATGTATGCCGCTGAAGATGCTCGTATTCATGCACTGTGTAATCAAAGGCGGGCAAATGAGAGAGAAGACACGTTTTGAAGAGAGAGTTTCAGAAAAGGAGGACAGATCTTGGCACGGAAGAACCTGCCTTTGAGACATGATCTTGAATGCATCGGGCAGATAACAGTTGATGTTCTCCATTTGAAAGGGGTCAGCATCGCAGATCTTGTCGTCTGTCCGGCCGTAATTGGCACTCTCGATCATGATGACATCACTTCCTGGACAGCGGAGGTCGATGGGGTAACCCTCACAAGACAGCTCCCGCCTCACCAGACCGAATGGCATGGCTGCCCGGCTGAACCCTGGAAGACAGAGAGAGAGTTTAGACCAAAAAATACAAAGAAATAGTCTTTACATTAGCTTGTTGCAGTAATGAGGATTTGGATGAAAATGTCTATTAAAAAATCTGGAAAATAATGCCACAAAGTAAGAAAGAAAGTAAGTAAGTAAATAAATAGTTACAAAGCAAAAATATCAAATATAAAGTTCTGACAAAAGTATTTCTCTCCATTTTATGGAAGGGTGAGAAAGGCCAGGCAACAAGAGAGATACAGTCAGTGGAAAAAATAAAGAAAGAAAGAAATTAAAAATCAATACATGTGCCGTGTTCTGCTAATGTGAAGAGCGTCACATGTCTGCTCAGAGAGTGAAATCTAGTCCTGAGCTCAGAGCAGCATGTAAAGGGCATTTCCCTCATCACGCTAATGTCAAACACAAATAAAACACATTCAGCCAATCACAAGCCTTGACCTTAAATATATCCCTATATTTAGAAATTAATCTCACATGCAAAATGCAGCACGGACGCACCAGAAAATAAGTACAAGAAAAAGAATCAATTATGTGCTATGACTGAAAATTACATCTATCCATCTGCACAGAAGGTGTATGTAGAAAAACAAACCCTCACCAAATCCCATTTGTGCAAAGCAAAAAATCTTACACTACAAGTCAACTTTACTTCTTGGTGCATCATTTTTTGTTTTCTTGCTGCCTCAGACTGTAAATGGTTTTAAAATGTGTCTTGTTTAAAATACTATTTTTTATAACAAAGATTCATAACCTGAGAGAAAGACTGCTCTTTAATCTATATTTCCTCTAGCAATGTGTATAACTTTGGCCACATTAAGTAGAAATCCATGGGAAATCAGTCAGTACGATTGATCTATTCAGGTAAGTGGAATTATAAAGTCAACATCTTGGCTCTGCATTTTTTTTTTCTCATTCATGTTTTGAAATGAAGAGGAAAATAATCTGTCTGCTGAGAAGCTTCTCCTGTAATTATTCAGTCGGAACGCAGTGACTGTGCGTTTTATCCACAGCATTTCCCCCTGAGTTTGACATGCTGAGATGTTCTCAAAGACACTGACAGCAAAATGGATTCAAATTACTTTAAAAAGTCCATTCAGTGGAAATCAAATCTTGGGTTGTTGAACCACGATTTATCGCTGTTTTTTTTTTTTTGTTTTTTTTAATTTGTAGTCATTCCTTGTGACCATTAGAAAGGCAACACAGCAGCAGGTTTTGACTGATGACAGGTGTTGCCGCCTCAGATATGTCATTTTATAGTGTGCGCTGCTCAACAACATGCAATTCAGTTTGTGACTCGGTAAAACCACCAGTGAGAGGTAAAGCTCAATAAAATGCTAACTGATAATTCCAAATCGGAATGCATTCAAATTCAAAATCATTGTAAAATGCAAATAAACTAGTTCCAACATTGCTTGACATCTGTAAATTACAACGATAAAGAGCAACGTTACTTGGCTGAATTATTATTATTATTATTATTATTATTATTATTACTGTATGTGTGTGTGTGTGTGTGTGTGTGTGTATGTGTATGTTAGACCGGCTTAATGTGTTTATGTCGTATGTTAGACTAGTTTAAGTGTTTATGTAGTTAATAAAACCTTACTTGTATCACACTTGACGTGTTCATTGTTTGCTCATAACCGGAGTCAATAATCATGCAGATTTACGTTACAAGCTTATAGAATTGTACAGTAAGAAAGTTATTTCCCTTAACCAGGAAATTAACGTTCTTAGAATTGACAAGACAGTTGACCCTGAGTGGTCAGCTAAATATCTACAGCGATTCTAAAATATGAATAGTTAATTATAACTAGTTATGGTTAATTATTCATATTTCCCCATGAGCTGATTCGCTACAAATATATAGATGACGGATAAGAAACAAAAGAGGAAAACGTTTGAGGAACAAAAGAAGGCTTCAGGCAATAAAGCAAGAAGTAGGACCCGTGTAAATATCGGATCAGCTTTCCAGTGCTGGAGAGAACTCAAGGAGCGGAAGGCCTGCGATCGGACGCCGAGGTTGCTTTGTTTCTTCTCGATAGGTGAGTAACACCGTGTCTGCGCCGTAACAGCTAAAGTCTGTCTAGTACACTGGATGCGACAAAGCTACCTTTGAAAATCATTTGAAATTTGTGTCAATACGTCATAAATAGAACGCAGCAGCAGTTTTCTGTCAGGGATTTGTCATGACACGACAAGTGTAGACCATAGATATGTGTATATATATATATCTATGGTGTAGACAGCATCACTGATTATAATGAGTTCTATAGTATTTTGTCACGCTGCGCCACTCGCGTCCGGTGTAGACATGGTGTAACATTGGTTTTGCTTTGTTTCACAGAACGAATCATTGCCTGGGTTGCGTACGTATGTGTGGGGCGGAGCTATCAAAATAGGGGCGAGACCCTTTTGGGGTAGGGGCGTGTTTGTTTTGGAGATTTCAAATGTCAACATTGGCTACCAGAAATCGCTTACCCCACCTTTAACTGGTTTCTCTCTGAACCCAGCTCTCAGCAATATCTAAGTTGTCTAATATTTACGACCAAGAGAAGGCCAACACACACACACACACACACACACACAAAAAGCAGAAAGTGCCTCTGGTTGCTCGATCCCTCATATAAATCCACATTATTAAACAAGTTAATAGACTTCGACACAAACCCACGGCACACAGAATGAGGTGTTTATATTAATTAATTTGATATAAGCCCATATAAATCAATAATTACAAAAAAAAGAAAGTTTCTTTCTGCAAAGAAATGAAGTAGCGTTGAGTGAAAGCTTATATTATTAAGTATAGTAATATATTATTAATGCAACTGTAGCAATGAAAGATTGTGAAGCCACTGGTGATTCATTATTTGACCAGAAAACTAACAAGATGAAAAGTGCACAACAATGCAATTTCACATCTGGACTTCTGCAGACCTGCAGAGGCGGGTTCCTGTGCAGATTAGCACCCACTTGAGACGCCTAATTGCCTGCAGCTGAAAGGACTAATTGAGACGCCACATTTTCAAACCTATTTCCCCACGAATCACGACATTCTTATAATAAGCCGAGCGGAACTGTACGACACTCCCGCAGCGGTACGTATCAAAGCCCGGCTCACACATCACTTCCTGTTCTTAGCACAAGCCTCCAGATGTACCACACTCTCTAAACTCAAAAGAAGATCGGATGTGAGCGCATTGAGATCTGTTGGGTTTGGTTGTTGAGATTGTGGAGGGAAGTATTCTTTATGTATGCCGCTGAAGATGCTCGTATTCATGCACTGTGTAATCAAAGGCGGGCAAATGAGAGAGAAGACACGTTTTGAAGAGAGAGTTTCAGAAAAGGAGGACAGATCTTGGCACGGAAGAACCTGCCTTTGAGACATGATCTTGAATGCATCGGGCAGATAACAGTTGATGTTCTCCATTTGAAAGGGGTCAGCATCGCAGATCTTGTCGTCTGTCCGGCCGTAATTGGCACTCTCGATCATGATGACATCACTTCCTGGACAGCGGAGGTCGATGGGGTAACCCTCACAAGACAGCTCCCGCCTCACCAGACCGAATGGCATGGCTGCCCGGCTGAACCCTGGAAGACAGAGAGAGAGTTTAGACCAAAAAATACAAAGAAATAGTCTTTACATTAGCTTGTTGCAGTAATGAGGATTTGGATGAAAATGTCTATTAAAAAATCTGGAAAATAATGCCACAAAGTAAGAAAGAAAGTAAGTAAGTAAATAAATAGTTACAAAGCAAAAATATCAAATATAAAGTTCTGACAAAAGTATTTCTCTCCATTTTATGGAAGGGTGAGAAAGGCCAGGCAACAAGAGAGATACAGTCAGTGGAAAAAATAAAGAAAGAAAGAAATTAAAAATCAATACATGTGCCGTGTTCTGCTAATGTGAAGAGCGTCACATGTCTGCTCAGAGAGTGAAATCTAGTCCTGAGCTCAGAGCAGCATGTAAAGGGCATTTCCCTCATCACGCTAATGTCAAACACAAATAAAACACATTCAGCCAATCACAAGCCTTGACCTTAAATATATCCCTATATTTAGAAATTAATCTCACATGCAAAATGCAGCACGGACGCACCAGAAAATAAGTACAAGAAAAAGAATCAATTATGTGCTATGACTGAAAATTACATCTATCCATCTGCACAGAAGGTGTATGTAGAAAAACAAACCCTCACCAAATCCCATTTGTGCAAAGCAAAAAATCTTACACTACAAGTCAACTTTACTTCTTGGTGCATCATTTTTTGTTTTCTTGCTGCCTCAGACTGTAAATGGTTTTAAAATGTGTCTTGTTTAAAATACTATTTTTTATAACAAAGATTCATAACCTGAGAGAAAGACTGCTCTTTAATCTATATTTCCTCTAGCAATGTGTATAACTTTGGCCACATTAAGTAGAAATCCATGGGAAATCAGTCAGTACGATTGATCTATTCAGGTAAGTGGAATTATAAAGTCAACATCTTGGCTCTGCATTTTTTTTTTCTCATTCATGTTTTGAAATGAAGAGGAAAATAATCTGTCTGCTGAGAAGCTTCTCCTGTAATTATTCAGTCGGAACGCAGTGACTGTGCGTTTTATCCACAGCATTTCCCCCTGAGTTTGACATGCTGAGATGTTCTCAAAGACACTGACAGCAAAATGGATTCAAATTACTTTAAAAAGTCCATTCAGTGGAAATCAAATCTTGGGTTGTTGAACCACGATTTATCGCTGTTTTTTTTTTTTTGTTTTTTTTAATTTGTAGTCATTCCTTGTGACCATTAGAAAGGCAACACAGCAGCAGGTTTTGACTGATGACAGGTGTTGCCGCCTCAGATATGTCATTTTATAGTGTGCGCTGCTCAACAACATGCAATTCAGTTTGTGACTCGGTAAAACCACCAGTGAGAGGTAAAGCTCAATAAAATGCTAACTGATAATTCCAAATCGGAATGCATTCAAATTCAAAATCATTGTAAAATGCAAATAAACTAGTTCCAACATTGCTTGACATCTGTAAATTACAACGATAAAGAGCAACGTTACTTGGCTGAATTATTATTATTATTATTATTATTATTATTATTTACATATTGGTTGTCATATTGCTGGTGCCATAATTTTATAAGATAATTAAAAACATGATTTTACCATATAAAAGTTACTTCAAATGTTTGGGATCATATATATATATATATAATTTTATTTATTTATTTATTTTTTTCTGCAAGGATGTATTCAACTGATCAAAAGTGACAGTATAGACTGCTGCATTGTTACAAAAAAAATCTATTTATGCTGTTCTATGGATACAAAAAAACAAAAACAAAAAAACAAAGGTTTGTAATTTGTTTGTTTGTTTGTTCATTCATTTATCCTGCAATGGTCCATTCAACTGATCAAAAGTGGAAGTAAAGACTGTTACATTGTTACAATATATATATATATATATATATATATATACAGTATATACATACATACATGTTTTCTATTTAAAAACATCAAAGGTATATTAAAAGTAGCATTCAAAAGTTTCAAACTATTTTATTGTTGTTGTTATTATTATCATTATTGGAAAAAAAATAATAAAAGCTGTTTCAATTGAAAAAAATGTTTAAGCAGTACAACTGTTTTCAACATTGATAATAAGAAATTATTTGAGCACAAAATTAGGAATACATTACATTTTAAATCATATACAAATAGGAACGAGTTCTATTCAATTGTACTAATAATTCACAACACTCCTGTTTTACTGTACTATTATTTGTACTTTTATTTATTGATCAAATAAATGCAGCCTTGCTTAGCATAATTAACATATTTTGAAAACATTACAAATCATCTTATGAATGGATACATCTTTTCAAAATGTGCTAGTCGTAGATTGGCTGCAGTTAGAGCTCACAGAGCTCATGAAGCATTCAAGTAAATTGACACGAATAATGTGATTAAACGTTATCATGATTTATTTGCTCAAGTCTTTTCGGTCTTTAGCAGTAACATTTCAATTCATGGCCCCTTTCCCCTGGCCTACATTCCACTGTACTCTAATGCAACTCGATTGCGAGGTCACAACGGTGTTTGAGCGGATCAATCGGGCTGCGGCGGTGTCCTGCATTATCTCACTCGGCCCTTTTCCCTCCTGACTCCAGCTACACAGGAATAGCACAGCCAAACCCGCCCCCTGTTCACCTCATCCGATCGGCTCTGCTGAAACTCTCCATTTTCCCCAGCTGCGGTTCCGCCACATGGCAGCTGATTTCATCCTCTCAACCACACTCCATTCTTTCATTTTACCAGAACACCAGGAAAACCAGGGTATGTTGAGGGCGTGGAAGGGACGATAATGAGAAACTGCAACGTGTTTCTGCGGCCTGGCATGTCGAGTTTACAACACGCGATACTTCTCCAGTGTCTGGGAATTACATTAAAACACATTCCCGTTGCCAAAGCCCCGAAACGCCCACCAGCACAGTTCATGCATCATGTAGTCCGCTGGAGCCTGCTTCATAAACAGCTTTTCAAAAGCAGGACAATTGATTAGGCCTGGAGTCACTGCTGACTCACGCTGCTATGGACAGATATTTCAGGACACGGTCAAATCTATACAGTAGAGAGAGAAAAAGGGCCAGACTTCCAAATCTAATTAAGGGGGAAAGACTTCTTTCTGTACGGAGGGCTTTTTTCACTGTACTGTAAACATGTTACAAAGCAGATCGAAGTAGTTCAAGCAGGTTGGAACATTAACATTATATCACTTAATGATATATATATATATTACAGTGAATTTCTTGCAACCACAGCTGCCAGTTTTTTTTTTTTTCGTTTAAATTTAACAGGATTTTAACATTTAGAAAGTGCTTGTTAACCAAATGCCTTCAAAAGCTTTTTTTTTTTTTTTCTTTTTTCTCTATCGTCTCTCATTGCTGCAGTCTGACTCTAAACTTCATTCATGCAATGGTAAATGGCGTCTTACTGTTGATTTTAAGCATATAATGATTATGATTTATTGTGTACTGGCTTTGATTAACTAATGAACAGTGCTAATGATTTTTTTTGTGGGGCAAATATAGGACACATTACTCCTGACGTGCAAAGACAAACGCCCTCAACAAACAGTCTATTAAACCATCAGATAATGGCTAAAGGTCAACGGTAATTCAAATCTAGTAGATAAATCTGTCCTTCATGATGCACTTAAAATTAATAATGTAAATTAACATATCCATGACTACAGGAGAAATGATTAGTTTAGAGAAAACATCATGTTAGTGCTCAATGTCCCAATGACACTTGATTTTAAAGGACCAATTCTCACTATTAACTAGAATGCATGCATATTGCCTGTTTATTACATATAAAGCACATATGTTCTGCATGAGCATATTTTATATCCCTTAATCCTACCTAAACTATACAACTACCTTACTAACATTCCTAACTTACATTAAAAGTTGTAGTTAGCAGTCAGTTAATATTGAGAATTGGTCCCCAAACTAAAGTGTGACCCCTTTTCCATATAAAATACAAAAGGTGCAGAAATGCCACAGTGACAAAGAAACTTAATTCTCTAATTTACTTAAAGGAACACGCCACTATTTTTGAAAATAGGCTCATTTTCCAACTCCCCTAGAGTTAAACAGTTGAGTTTTATCATTTTCGAATCCATTCAGCCGATCTCCGGGTCTGGCGGTAGCACTTTTAGCTGTAGCTTAGCATAGATAATTGAATCTGATTAGACCGTTAGCATCTCGCTCAAAAATGACCAAAGAGTTTTGATATTTTCCCTATTTAAAACTTGACACTTCTGTAGTTACATCGTGTACTAAGACCGACGAAAAATTTAAAGTTGTGATTTTCTAGGCCGATATGGCTAGGAACTATACTCTCATTCCGGCTTAATAATCAAGGAACTTTGCTGCCGTACCATGGGTGCAGCAGGCGCAATGACATTACGCAGCGCCTGAAAATAGTCCCCAGCTAGGTAATATCGAAACTCTTTGGGCATTTTTGAGAGAGATGCTAACGGTCTAATCAGATCCAATGATCTATGCTAATCTGCAGCTAAAAATGCTACCGCCAGACCCGGAGATCGACTGAATGGATTAGAAAACGGTAAAACTCAACTGTTTAACTCTAGGGGAGTTGGAAAATTAGTCTATTTTCAAAAATAGTGGCATGTTCCTTTAACGCCACTAGATAATTAAAGAGGATTGTGAGTGCTAAATTATTCTACATCTTAACTACTATCTTTCATTAAGAGTGTCAATCTTTTAATAAATAAATAGATATTTACAGCTTGTTCATATTTTCTAAGTTATCAGAGTTTGATTTTTTGCCTAGAACAGGCAGAAATTTGGATGGCCAAGCACCTCTCGTATTTTCTTTAGAAAATTTAAAAATCCAGTTTTATTAAAGATAATATTATACCGTATTGGCCCGAATATAAGACGACCCTGATTATAAGACGACCCCCCTTTTTCCAGATGTACCTTTTGGAAAAATACTTTTTAAAAAACAAATATTGTTTTTTGTCAGTAAAACACATTTTGTCTTCAATTATTTTTTGTTTTGAAGGTATG